AGGGGGGGGGCGGCAGAGTGGTCTCCGCTGCTCCTGGCTGCCGTGTCTCCAGCAGAAAGAAGCTCCTCGGCCCTAGGGTCCGTCTGAGGTCTCGGGCTTCCCTGGCCAGTCCGCGTCCAGGGCCGGGGCCGGGCCCGGGCTGTAGTCCCACTCCGGACCCCAGGGTCCCCCGTGGCCCCAGAGGGTGCAGGGCAGGCCCCACAAGACCCCCAGCCAGGCCCGCCTGCAGCACCCCGCCCTCCCCGTGCGCCTGCAGGTGAAGCAGCTGCGGCTGGAGCGGGAGCGGGAGAAGGCCATGCGGGAGCAGGAGCTGGAGATGCTGCAGCGGGAGAAGGAGGCCGAGCACTTCAAGACGTGGGAGGAGCAGGAGGACCACTTCCACCTGCAGCAGGCCAAGCTGCGGTGCGCCCCGCCCCCCCCCACCCCCCCCACCCAGAGCCCCGTCTGCCCCGGAGCCTTCGCACGGGCCCTTTGCTCCGCTTGCAATCTCCCGCCCTTCGGATTTCCACCCGCTGCCTCCCCGGGGAGTCCCTGCGTGCCCCTTGCTGCGTGCACCACTTCCTGTTTGCTCCTCCCTCCAGCCTGTCACTGATGCCCCCCCCCCATCTCCATCTCCGCCTGTCTCCCGCGTTGAGTTGTGTGCCGAGGAGACCTCCGAATGATCCTTGCTCCGTGTCGCGGTGCCACACGAGCTGAGCGAGGTGCTGGGCCCCTCACGGTACCGACCGTGGCTCACCCTCTGCAGCCCGCGGGGCCACGTGCTCATCAGCCCCGTTTACAGAGGGGGAACGCGAGGTTCCTGGGGGCAGGGGAACGCCTGAGGCCACACGGCAGGTGTCTGAGCCTCAGTGGCGCGTGTGCACCAGGAGCCTGCTCCCAGCCCCTCTGTCCTGCTGCCCACCAGCTGCACCAGCCCCTGGGGCTCGGACCTACCTGGTTTCGGGGCTCCCTTGGGGTAGAACAAGTGTCTGTTTCTGACACGCGTCCCCCTGGGTGTGGCACTGATGCTTCAGACCCTCCCCCGCCCCTGGGGGAGCAGATCGTCCACTAGAAGGAGGTGGTTCTCTCTGCCCCTCTGGCCCTGGCCTGTGTCTTCCGACCGCCCAATGCCCCCTCTTCCAGGAAGACCTCCTTGTCCCCCACCCCCTGCAGGCCAGGCTATTCCCCGGGCGCCCCCACACGAGCCACTCCCACCCCACCCCCGAAGCAGGGTCTTCAGGAGGTGGGGAGGGGGGCCTCCTGGGCTCTGACACCACCTCCCTGCTCCCTGGCAGCTCCAAGATCCGCATCCGGGACGGGAGGGCCAAGCCCATCGACCTGCTGGCCAAGTACATCAGCGCCGAGGACGACGACCTGGCCGTGGAGATGCACGAACCCTACACCTTCCTCAACGGCCTCACCGTGGCCGACATGGAGGACCTGCTGGAGGACATCCAGGTGCCGCCCGGCCCCGGCCCCGCCCCCGCCCCCCCCCCGCCAGCCTGCCCGCCCGCCTCACCGCCCCTCCCCGCCCCTCCGTACCTTCTGCCTCCAGGTGTACATGGAGCTGGAGCAGGGCAAGAACGCGGACTTCTGGAGGGACATGACCACCATCACGGAGGACGAGATCGCCAAGCTCCGCAAGCTGGAGGCCTCGGGCAAGGGCCCAGGTAGCCCCGCGCAGCGCCACCGGAGAGCGCCCGCCGTGCTCTTGGGGGGGCCCGTATCTGGGCGCCGGCGCGCTGGGAGCTGTCTCAGCCCGGGGCTCTCCGCCTGCCTCGGTTTCCCCATCGGGGATCTTCAGGGTCTCTCCGGGAGCCACCAGGGGGCAGCGGCGGGCTGCGGCAGGAGCTTGGGCCCCCCCCCCCCCCACGGCTCCTCCTCAGGTGGGGGGCTCAGCCCAGGGCGGGGGCTCCCTTCCTTCAAAGATCGCTTAGCGTCTGCGCCGGGCTTCCCGGGAGTGGCGCCAGCAGGGGCCCGTTTTGTTCGGTTTCAGGTTTTTGCCAGAAGCTTGGTGCGTTCGAGGGAGGGCGGCACCCCGCTTGTCCCCTTGTGCGGGAAGCCCCTAGAGCCCCGGTCTCTTGAACCTGGTGTTCTTTCCTCATTCGCTTTCCTTTCCCTCCAGAGGGTTCCGCGCAGTGTCCAGGGAGGTGACCCTCGGGGGGTGGGGGAGGGTCGTCCTGGGCCCTGGGCTACTGAGCAGCGGCCCTGACCCCCCCCCCATTGTCAGGAGCCCCCCCCCTCCAGTCGTGACAGCCACAGATGTCCCCAGACATCACCTGGTGTCCCCTGGGGGCAGGATCACCCTGGCTGAGACCCCTGTTCTAGAAGCTGATGACCAACCGTGCTCCTCCCTCTTCCACCCCTTCCACCCCCAGGGGCCTCGAGTGCCTGCCCCCCACCCCTCCCCCAGGCCCATGTAAATGCCCTTGTTACTCAGCCCAGGTTGGGGGGGACGGCTTCCTCTTAGGAAAAGGAGGAATGTCTTTCGTCATGTTTGTCAAGTGCTGTTTTGTTTCCCTGCGCCCTCTCAGCCAGCACATCCTGCAGTAACTTCTAGAGAAAGAAGGAAATCCTTTGCTCTGGGAAACGTGTGGAGTGATTTCCCTTGGGGGCAGTGAGGCCCTGGGTGTAGACCTCTGGGGGGAAGGGCCCTGACTGCCACAGGTGTGGCTCTGGGCACAGATCCAGGCCCAGGCCTCCCGCGGAACTGGCGAGGCGGCCAGACCCCTCAGAGGGTCACCTCGGCGACCCCGGGCCTCCTTCCCCCTCGTCCCTGTGCACGTCGTCCATCACCCCGCACTGCCTCCTCACTCTCTCATGTTGGAGCCCCTCTTTACTACCCCACGTCCCCCTTTCTTGCGCTTTGTCCCCTCGTCGTGTGGGACACATCCTCCAGTAAATTGTGGGGGAAGGCGGGAAGTTCTTGGACATCGTGTAGTTCGGGAAACGGGTCACGTCTGTGCCCTGCCAGGTGACGGGGGCGGGGCGCTCCCCAGACACACAAGACCCTGACCCACCGGCTGTGGAAGAGTGAGGGCCACCCTGCCGGGGGTCCCCTGCGCCGAGTCCCCCGTCGTCTCTTGCCAGCTGCCGATTCGCCCCCTTCTGTGGCCGCTTCCCTTCTCTCAGTGACAGCAGAGGCCCTTCCGTCCACTGTCCCTCCTCCCCTGTCCTGGCTGGGGTCCCAGCTGGCTCCGGGTGTCCTCAGAGATGAGCTTGTGTTTCTGTTTCTCTTTTCGGCCTGATCTCCAATATCGTTCCTGGAGACGCGCAGAGTGCTGTGTGTTGTGCTTGTAAATTCAGTTGGGCCTTTTCTTTCGCCTTTAATGGGAAAGTCTACCTGTACGTGGGCGCGCAGCAGTGTGGGTGTTGCGGCGGGGGGCCCCATTACCATTCCCTGTGGGTTCTCCCCAAGCTGCTGTCCCAGAGCCCTCTGGACCCAGCCGGGCCCCGCGGGATGCTCGGGCGGCATCTGAACCCGCGACTCGATCTCTACGCCGCGGGTGTGGCAGAGCGGGGCTTGTCTTGTCGGGGTGTGCACGGGGTGCGGCCCTGCCGGCGGGAGGCAGTTTCGGTGCCCTGACGTGTCTGTGTGGTCTGAGACAGGGCTGCCTGGGGCCATCCAGGTGTCGGCAGAGGGGACGAGTGTCTAGATGCTGACTCGGGGGTCCCACGGTGGTTGCCTAGAGGGACTTGGGTCCTTTTTGAGCCCGTCTGCTCCGCTGGAGCCAGTGTGTGGTGGCCGTGGTGTCAGAAGCCGGTTCTTAGCCGGGAGCACTGCACGCCCGGTTCTCGCAGTGCTAGGAGGCAGCAGTCAGAAGCCCAGCAAGGCCCCTGCCCTGGGGAAGCCACTAATCAGGCATCCAGGCCGAGGAGAGCAACCTGGTGGTCCAGGGAAGGCTTCCCGGTCCACAGGGTTCTCGACTGGTGGGGTCTGGGAGGCAGGCTGGATGAGGAAGAGCATGTTACTGCTGGAAAGCAACATATGTGCAAAGGTCCCGGGGCAGGGCTCCGTGTGTTTGACGAGCAACAAGGAGGCTGCAGGCAGGGTCAGGTGGCACCCAGCCCTGCCCTCAGGGGCTTCTCAGTCTGGAGCCGGGGCATGTCCCTGTGTCCCCAGCTAAATCTGGATGGGACCGAGAAGGGGCGGTGTCAGGATTTCCCGCAGTGCCTGGGAAAGAAAACTGAGGTCCAGAGAGGGTGAACTATTTACCCAAGATGACACAGCTGAGACTAACAGGGCAAAATCCGAACTCCTGAGAGTCTGGCTGGCGGACGATCCATCCCTCCTCGCTCTTCCAATGCGGGTGGGGGCGCAGTGGTGGCTGGGAGTTGGCAGAGCCGGATGCCAGGCTGAGAAATGTCCGCCCAGCAACCCCAGCCCCACTCAGAACCTTCCCGACTAGGGTCCGCGGCCCGGTGCCAGCTCCGTGTTAGCAGGGTCCAGCCAGGGTCAGGGGAGGAGCCGTGTGGGCCAAGGGCAGGGTCGGGAGCCCTGCCGCCGCCCCCTCCCCCCGCTGAGCGCCCCCCCCCCCCCCCCC